TAACCTCTCTCTCCCCTGTAACCTATCTCTCCCCTGGCTTCTCTCTCCCTCTGTACCGCTCTCTCCCCTGGCTTCTCTCTCCCTTGTAATCTATCGCCACAATAGCCGGCCACTATGTGCCTGTACCAGCGCAACCGCTCTGCGACTGCCCGTCTCCTGACCCTGCTTCTCTCCTCTTTCTCACATCGCTCTCCCTCGCGATCTCTCTTCACACGCCCTGCTGTTATGCGCCCATACCTGCCCGGCCGCTCTCCTGGTAGAAGTTCTCGATGGATTTGCTGAGGGAGTGATGAACAACGAAGCGAACGTCCGGCTTGTCGATGCCCATGCCAAACGCCACCGTCGCCACGACGACCCGCACGCGCCCCGTCGTCCAATCACGGTGAACCTGCAAGGTGGAACGGTGAGATGCGTGGGTGGCGGAGGAGGGGGAGGCGGGCAGGAGGTTGGGGGGGGGAGGACGCGTGGGTGGTGGAGGCGGGAGGAGGTGGGAGGAGGTGGGGCGGAGGCAGGGGTGGGAGAGGCAGGGGGAGGCGGGGAAGATGCGTGGGGTAGCGGAGGCGGGGGAAGGATGCTGGGAGGATGTGTGGGTGGTGGAGGCGGGCGGGGGGGGGTGGCAGGGAGGATGCACGGGTGGTGGAGGCGGAGACGATGCGTGGGTGGTGGAGGCGGGGGGATGCGGGAGAATGTGTGGGTGGTGGAGGCGGGGGCCTCCCTGCCTCCGCCACCAAGCATCCTCCCCCCTTGCCACCCACGAATCTCCCACCTTCCCCCCCCGCCCTCGCCACCCACGCCATCCTTCCCACTCCCCCCGGCCCTCCGCCACCCACGCATCCTCCTCCTCCCCGCCTCCTACCGCCACCCACGCATCCTCCCAGCCTCCCTGCCTCGCCCACCCAGCATCTCCCACCTTGCCAACCAGATCCTCCCCACCTCCCCCCCGGCCTCGCCACCCACGCATCCTCCTCCTCCCCACCTCGTTCCCACCTTCCCGGCCTCGCACCCGCGCATCCTCCCGCATTCCTCCCCCGCCTCTGCCACTCCGATCCCGTCTCCCCCCTCTCCGCGCACCCACGCATTCTCCATCCTCCCCGCCTCCGCCACCCACGCATCCTCTCGCCTCCCCACCTCACCACCACGCATCCTCCCCCCCTCCCCCACCTCGTCCCCACCTTCCGGATCTCCGCCTCTGCCACCCACGCATTCTCCCACCACTCCCCCGCCTCCTCCCCACCTCCTCCCCGCCTCCTCCCGCCTTGCCACCCACGATCCTCCCGCCTCCCCAGCCTCGTTCCACCTTCCCCTGCCTCTGCCACCCATGCTTCCTCCCTGCCC